ATATATATGCATGCAAAGCATATTCTTATTTGACATACGTTCATCCGCATAGCGATATATATATATATGTACAGACAAACAGTAACTATTACACTTAAATATTGCTGTATTCCTGTTTGGTATGCAATTTAGTGGAGATTTGTTCAAATGCACATACGTATCTATTGTTTTTTCTTTGCAGTAGTAGACTCCAATATATAACACCTTCATTTTCATCACATGTATGGGGTCCGCATTGTGCTGACGCGTGGACGCTAAATATTCGAATGCAGGTTGCAGAGTTTAAGCAGATTCTCGAGAAGATATCAACGACGGAATACAAGCGGAAGCTCGGAAACGTGCGTAAGGTGTGCGATATGCTTGGGTTTCACAGAACCACACCTGTCGAGGGTGACGTGTTTTTCTCGATTCGAATGTTGCATTGACGAAAGAGACATATCGTCAGATATTATGCACCAATATCAGTAGACGATACTTGAGAGCTTTCTCCCTCGAAGTGGAGCAGCTCGAAGGACGGGTTGACATCCACCTGCCTAATGTGTTATGTATTTTATGCGATACATGCCCTCCTAAACTATACCACGAATGCCGAATTGCGATCTTCTTGATGTCAGCCATCGAGGGTAGGATATGGACGTTCCAGTGTAGCGCCAAAGATGGAAACGGATGTACCACGACTGGTATCGCAAAGGGGAGACAATATAAATCGTGTACCAATACCTCTAGCCTAGGGTGGTGAGGTATGGCGAGGGTGTTGGTATGGGAGAGAGAAAAGCAAAAATAGAAATGTGACAGGATAATGATACTATAACGGAGACGTACATAAGAGTCAATTATCGAGCCACTTTATGTACACTTTGCAACCGATATCGAGTGCATCGCACAAGGCTCGATGTGTCCAGTGATGGCCAGTCATGAAGTACAATACTAATCATCTCGACTGCACTTCAGAACGTTTCTGTAGCACACTTTCAGGATTCGTTTGGTTCGAGGACGAGCATGCTAGTCTTGTAGGCCAGCTTATCGAGTTCGGTCAGTAATATGTCGCTTTGAGCCGCACCGATATACCCCCACCACTCGAATTCGCTGTTGTATCCCGAGGCCGCTATGTGTTGTGATTTTCTGGTCAACACTACAACACGCATAAGTAGAATGGGACTATAAATTAGCTTTCATATGAGCCAACTATGAATAGCCTTGTAACCTGATTGGTTATGACTCACGGTGATGCCTGGAAGGCAATTGATTTATATCAATCGCATTGTAAGGGTTTGATCAGAGGCACAGTATGATCCGATTGTTATTACTTGCAGCGCTGTCGCTAGCAGTACCTCGAAATGATCATCTCATCCTGTAAGGTAGAATACATACAGATGCTGCAACAAATCTGCAGAACGATAAACAAACTTTAAACAATATCTTAGTACAAAAGTATCATAATAGACCGCCATGTGCATGTACATGTACCTGAGTGAGAAGAACCTCGTTGACTTTGAGGATTCCCAGTGTGTTCACAGGGCAATGACTTTTGCCACGTGTATATTGACGAACTCCTCCCGGCTATTTCGCGAGCACCCTGAACACGTATCGTATTCCAAGCCAGAAATTTCAACTGCATGTCAGCTAGTTTATCTTGCGGAAGCGATGCACGTACATTGTGCAACAGCGCCCCCAGTAGGTCTTTTACCGCGACATACCTCCCGATGTATCTGAACAGATAGATACAAGAACATAGCAAAGAGGGTATACGCACCCAGTGGTACCCATGACGGTCAAACCCTATTTGAACCTATAGAATACCTCGTAGTCCTGGTAAGGATGCCTGCCTGCAGAGTCAAGTTGGAATGCAATATATGTGAATCAGGTTTGCAAGCAAATGATGGGAAAATATGATACTGTGAAAAATATCTCAAGAGACCTATCCATAAAAGTAGCTCAAAACTTTAACGAACTAGTTAGGGAATGCAGAATATCATGGACATCCGTCAGTAGCTTGATCATCCTACCATGCTTAGCACACGAGACACCCTTAGAAACACTTGTATTAGAATAGGAAGTGCACGTATTAATTCTGTGTCGATCGTGATATCTTGACAACACTGCAAGAAACTAATCTGAATTTGACAAAGTCTCTACATAATGACGACGTAGTTTTATCAATCACCTAGCGAACGTGTATTGTAATCGCTTGTGGAACATGACATGAACAGCATACCGGTGACTTCGATGTAGTTTCTCTCCCAAGTGCTTAGTTTCGTAACTTTTTGCCCAGGCAGGTTTGAAGCGGATTCGACTGTATACCAAGTTAAATTAAATATGTGATGCACCGTTTGTGCTCATTACCGCGAGGCTTCTATCTCACCCGGCAAAGCTAGCATTAGAGTCGAATCGTGCACCCTCACCCATCATAATATAATAACTGAGCTGATCACACATGCCCACATCAGCACCCGTGCACAACTTGACGTATTGCATTGCGTTAAAACACATACCATCATCAACAGCCAGGCTATCACCTGTAACACAACTATCAAGGAGCTTTTCTTTCTTGCTCTGCGTTTCGCATCGCGAGCTGGGCGATTTAGTTGCCTCGGATCCGGCCAGTTTGACGATGTTCGTCAGCAGGGCAAATTTATCCCGAGTCTTAAGTGCTTCACCTGCATACGATACAGCGACTTATTTCCATAACATGATTTGTGGGGATTTTTATCTTATGAAATCCATTGGAGTTTGCGAATACAAAATTGAAAATCCAACTGCTCTTAGCTTGAATTAGATATCAGAAGCATCGATTTTCAAGAGTGTATCCAACAATATCCATTGGAATTGTGAGAGTTTCCCAGCAGTTAGAGTTTGGATGTTAACTCTTGGTTTTACTATTCTAGGAGAAAGTCAGTAATATGCATTCAGCGTATCATTATGTATTTGTTGGAACAGAAATGAAAACCCATGATCGTAATCCACCACTTACCTTTGCTGGATTCCGCAACAAAAACTTTCAGGGAAAGCGAGCTCGATGTTTTCGACTCAATATTCTTGCTGATCGACGAAAGCTGTGCCAGGCACTGTGAATTTGTTGTGTGAGATGAATTTAATGACAACTATGATGTCTATTTTGTGTGCCCACCAGTACTCCCAAAATCTTTTCGACACACAGTATAGCCACAAGCACACAGTTTACCACCGGATTTGCTATGGTCTAAGATACAGATGTGATTCATACTCGCGATGCTATGAGGTACCTAACAATGAGTAAATACTCCGGGCACACCCTCAGATATTCATATAAACTTGCGAAATTTGTCCCGAGAAATGAACGAATGAGTATCTGCACAGCCTACACACAAAAATGTCGAGCGATATGATCAATTACCTTTGCGCCACGATCTGGTGTCTTCGCTACTGCTTCATATCTGTCTGTTTCAACCGAAAAGCATAGACTCGTTACACAGTGATTCTCTCTACCGGTGTTATAAGACGCGATTGATGATTCGCACACGAATGCTTGTATGAATCCCGCACTCAGAACTAAGTGAAAGTATAGCATGCATCATTGCTGACTAATCCAAGACATCGAGATCTCCGCCTCCAATATTCAAGTAGAGGGTAGAAAGACCATTGCTCGTGTAGGTAATCAGGGTAGTGCATATAAAGTTCAGCCTCAGCATACCCTCCAAGTGTAACTGTTGAGAAAGAACGGGCACAGAGACAACTGAGAGGGATCCTGCGTGCACTGGGTGTACATACGCACGAGGCAATCCAGGCGCGTTTTACAATATGCTTCCAATTACTATCCACTACCTTTAACCGATGACTGACTTGTCGATTCGTAATCTGGTATTTTGTCCACTTCGACTTCCTCATCTGTATTCCAATGCAAAATCGGTCGAACTGTATAGCTAAACAAATCGGCGGTCGCAAACATCAGTACAAAAGAGTTTTGACTACGGATCACGGAGTAAGTCTATTAATGACAAACAGATCGAATACTCTACCCGAATGGAGCTCTGGGCAGAAATTCCGTGTCCCTCCCAAACATGCCAGGCGACTTCTTCTAGATCTGCTCAATCAGAATCTGCCATTAACTCATACTCTACATACGAAAAATGGGTTCATTCCGTATATCGCCTCGTCCACGGGTTGTCGATAAAACGCATGTGACTCCGTCGTAGGTGGTTTTACGCGAAATTGAAGGACTATTTTATGTATTACCGCCTTTGTCCATTCCAGCTGAAAATAAGGCTAGACGAGCAGGCACAAAAAATACGCACCTGGCCATCACGTTATCAATTATAGCGCACATACCTGCACTTCTGCGTTTTGTAGTTCAGCGGGTGGTGGTGTACTTCCAAACTGTTGTGAGCTTTTGTACACGCGTTCCCCTTGCTGCACAGCAAGTAACGAGGACAGTGGCCAGACATCAGCTCTCCATCGGATATGGAGCACTCACAAGACACGTTGCTTTCTGTTTCAACATAAATGGTCGTGAGCGTGGAAACTAATCGTAAATTTATCATTTAAAGCAGATAAACAATTTTCCGCTATAAATCGATTGTCTACTGAAAGCACTGCTCATATGATATTTCGGCAAGACGTTGCAAAGATGCTCTTATCTCAAAGCGCAGTAGATGCCACGTTCGAAGACACTTATAAACGGACACTCCATTACCTAGGTATTCTACTATATACCTAGTGATCATGTCCGTTGAATTGGCATACCAGATAGATCAACTTTACAAGTGATTTGAACTTCAGTGGTTACAATTAAAATACGTTCTTCTATACGGATGCCAATAGAACACGAGCCTAGTGGTAAGACGCTCTCAACGGAAGTTCTTACCAATAAGCTCATCGCAGAACACCAGTTCATGAGGCCATTCAAAGGAGTTCGGTCCGGCACGTCTCTTATCCAGACACGAATGATGCTTTATGTGTTCATTGAGTGGTCACTTCTTTTAGATAAGGACACTGCTTATCATATACAGACAGAAGTTAAAATCTCCGTATAGGCCAATTCACAACTTCCAATGATTTGTCCAGGTATAGACTACCCTAATAGTTATACAGAATATTCTAACATTGCCGCAGCACAAAGAAAAGTAAAGGCCAAACTATCATCACCCGATGTATATTAAATTACATAATATATGTAAAATAACTCTGCAGTCGATAAAAACTGTAACACTTCCTACAATACTTTGTAATAATGCAATCGATATACTCCTGTGGATGTGCCATCCAGTCTGAAACATATCGACACTTCCAGCAGATGAATCCAAGCGTAAATCAACAAGGGAAAAATCGAAAATGATAAAAACAATACATGAATATTTAAATTCGAGGGCAGCACGGAAATGTAATAGTTTTATGTGACACCACCAAGATAGAGCTCATTACAAGTTGAAGCTCACTTACTTGCTTGTTGAGGTTATTTTCTGGCTCAAATTCGAGTATACCTATTGCTTCCTTCACACCAGAAGTTTAATGCGTATGTCGGAAGCACACTTGACGGACTCTTCTGTGCCTCTACACTCATATACCTAAAATACGCCAAAGAACCAACTAAAGCGTTACAAGACACCAATAGCAATTAACAGTGAACTTATTCGAACCTAAACGCACAGTCTTGTGAGGTTACCTTTGAGCACCGCTGTCGTTTCTCTTCGCTGACAGCGCAGCGTTTCGACCCGCACAGAGCAGTTTTGAAGTGATTGATGTGGTTCTCTTGGTGTTTGTATTTGTAGACCATTGTACAGGTACTAGTGATCTCTGGGACAGCAGACAAAGACTTCCGATTAAACCACGTGCAATCAACTTTTCAGTTGAGGGGATTTGTACCCACAATTGTGAAAATAATGACCAATTGTTTTTCCGAGAGATCGATATTGGGTCGAGTTGGTTGCTTTTCAGACTATGCTATCGTGTCAAACACTCATGGTGATTAATTGAGAATTCAGTACGCCGACTACGATGCCCTATTTAAATATCAAACCAGGTATATCCACAGGCATATCATTCGCCTCTGATTCCCTATCAGTCTTGCAGCTCATGTGCGCATATACAGTATACATAGGCCAACATATGCAGTAGTCCCAACTGTAACTACTGGTCGGTCACAACGCCGTACGACTTGTCACTCACTATACCGATAGCACGGCTTATTCTCTAGAGATGGCAGCAAAATGCGAGGTTCCCCCTAATTAAATAGCGAATGAGAGTCTCACTGGTATGATATGTACGACAATCAAATAATGATCCATAGGAATTAACACATCTACTCGATGCCATATAAATTTAGATCCGTCATCCCAGTCTTCCCTTAATTGCTAGCGAGGTAGTCAACGTCGAATGCAGCCTGTTGAACTTCTGAAATGCCAGATGAACTCTTTCATAGCAACAATAACTCAAAGTACTGAGCTACTCACGAGTGGGAATGAACGTCAGAATGGCACTACCAGAGTTAAACGTTTCAGACAAATAATCGAGGCTGTATGTGACCCTTTAAAACTTTTATTCTGTGCAATAAACTATAAGTAGCCTGTGATTTATCCTTATGACTAGTAAGTAAAGTACATGAAATAAATGCAGTAGAAATCTTGAACCGAATTGCTGATATACCCGAGGCTGTGTATGGCACGTTCAAACTGTTGCTCCTTTGCACACGCAATCGTTCACTATCACCAATTTTATCGGTCCAACTTGCATACCAAGGATATACATATTCTACATGATGTAGGATACCGGAAGAGACCCATACACACACTTGTGGTTATATATGATACGTTTAAACTAATATTCTTGTGCACACATACCCGTTTTTTGTTACCACACGGTCGGTCCTCTGTATAAAGCGATATTATATTCACTTGGTATGCATGTTGATATATTGAACCCAAGTGCTGCACATACTCAGGCCTGTGTGGCTGCTTTGTACTGATAATGGTATGCGCACGTTACTAAGTAAGGCCAACCGTTCGTCCAAGCGTTCTTCCATAAAAAGAGAGACTGTCAATTCGGCATTATGAAGCACCCACCTGTTTGCCTTTACAGTACCTGTGATGTATTGTATGTGATAATTACGGATTGAATAATAGCTAAAGGAGAGAACAATACGCACGGAGAAACATACATGTGGAAGGCCTCTGAACCTATGTCTAATACACTACATGTGACATGTACATCTAGTACAGCACATGTGGGATATATAAATACAGACCTTGTATTCAGTATAAGAGAGTCATACTCGTATAAAATAATGAATATATTTCCCCAACCAGCAGTGACTTGTTGTTGACTTTCGTGTGTATTTTATAACAAACCCTGAAATATGAAACCCAGCAGCAGGGTACACGTCCACATTCCACAGTCCACACCAGCCACACACTACACAGCCTCGGCCCTCGAGTCACAAGTCCCAAGTCACTCACAGGTGTAGTCGTGAGTTTGTAGGGTCTCAGGGTTTGAACACAATCCTCCATTTGATCAGGGACGGCAATGCAACACTCACTATACGGGATTGCTTAGCGTACTGAGGGGCATTGATACATATACGCCACACGCCACACGCCACACGCCACACACCACACTTCATTTAAGTGTTAACGATACACGTTTGTACATATCATCAGATGGGCACATATTGATACCCCACCACATAGCATATCAACCAGTTCCCTTGCTCTAGTCATCAATAAATAAGCCATAAGCACACCTTGATACACTACCACATGTCATCTACATCTATGTTATCTAGATCCCAGCCTCTGATCTCATCCCAAAGGTATACAAGATTTTGGAGGTAGGTTAGGGTTAGTATAGCTTTGCATAGGAAGCAGTCGACATCATGGCCGAGGCGCCAAGGAGAACCGAGAATGAACTGCAGAAGAGCATTCTTACTGAGATCAAAGAATTTGCTGATGTATGTCCGAGTGTGCTGTAGATGCAAGTTTTTAGTCCCTCATATGCTGTAGATGGAAGTTGTGTATACTGTACGTACAAGCTTATGTATTTAAGATTATGTATAGACGTTGTAAGTTTGGATGTACGAGCCGTTGTAGATATATATTGCTACTTTTAACCTTTTTAGCCAGTGCTAGTCACGTTCTCTCGTCAGGTGGTTAGATGCAAGTCGGTGAGCATTTGATCAAGTGCAGTATGTTTACTATACAGGTACATCTCAATATGTTACATCTGAAAACAATAGGCAGGCAACGCCGAGTAAATATGTCGCAGAACTACAACTAAATATGTATCACTGTGGGTATACGCTATGTATTCGACTTCTATGTCAACTTCCAATTTATTACTGATCGGGCTGTGCAGGTAGATGCTGTTATCAATTCTATATACATGGCTGATATAGATATTGCATTAATGTACATATATATATACGAACACACACACATACACACACACACACACAC